TAAATGTACTATGCCAGAAGTTGTTTGCTTATTTGAGAAGTTGTTTAATTAATACACTTCCTTCGCGGGAGTGTATTAAACAATTTCCCAAAGTTTCATGACAATCAGATAAATGGTGTAGTAATGCACGAAGGACAGATAGACAGACATACATTCCTTTATATATATGTTATGGACAAAGTGATTAATACGGGAATTATGAATAATGACCAACAAAATCGGGCATTGTAATAAATTTCAATAATTTATCAAATTGACCGGTCATTATGAATACTGCTACCACCTAGTCGGGCAAAGTGATAATAATACGTTGAGGAGTGATCATCCGGCATACGTTAGCCAATCAGAACTTACATGTTACTTGCTCACGCGTATTGCATTTAGTACCGAACTTTAAATTTATGTGACCAGTAGTTAATCTTTCTTCGTTGACAATAGTAACGATCATGAAGGAATCATTAAGTGATATGAATAATCGCTTCAACAACCGATTAAACGAGTTAAAAACCAAAAGGGCTGAAGAAGTAGCATATGGTCTGTCGGGATAAAAATCGTCTGGCACACGGTTTTCCCGCGCTTTTCCAATCGTTCGACTAACGACGGTTGTCGCCATAGAAACAGCGATCAGACCACTTTTGAAGACTCGACCGCTCATTGGTTGAGCGACATCACGCCATCGGTGGACGTCTTGTAGAGCTGCTAAGTTCTGATTGGTGGAATCCAATTCTGCTTCAATCCTATAAAAGGATTGAGTTGTGGCGAGAAGTTCAGTTCACTGTGGACTCGGAAAGTGAACTCACGTTGGACCTTAGTTCGCCGAAGCTGCCCCGAAGCTTGTCTCGTCTCGTTGGACTGTAAATGACTTTGAATTTGTACGTCGCAAGGTGCTTTTCCGACGGATCTGTTGTAGTGGATAAAGGTGTTGAACTTTGTTACGATTAACGTTTTGTAAATGTTTGTTTTGTGAACCTTTGTAACTATACATACGTTTATTTCAGTATACATTAAGTTTCAAATTTAACTGGCTCTGAAGTGTTTTGGACACTTACTTGGTCTTTTAGATATTTTTACAATTTTCAGTGCACCAAGTATTTTACAAAGCGATAATGGCAGAGAATTCGCCAATAATATCATCAAACAAATGTGTAATATGCGGTCCTAGTTAAAAATGGTGCATGGAAAGCCCAGGCACTCACAGAGTCAGGGTTCAGTAGAAAGATGTAATCAAGACGTAGAAAATATGCTTAGTTGTTGGTTGGAGATTAACAATACTAACAAATTGTCGGAAGGATTACGTTTTGTACTACTGATTAAAAATTGAGCGCATTATACTGGTATAAACTGCAGCCCCTATGAAGCCATGTTTGGAGCAAAGTTAAAAGTTGGACTAAAGAATTTTATATCCAACGAATCGTTGTTCAACGTTAATACGGAAGAGGATCTACAGAGACATTTTAAAACTATCAACGAAGTAAGTCAAAGTTGCTCAAACTCTGAAAGTCCGGGTACCGTCCAAGAAAACATTATGAAATATTATCTGATAATGCAACCCTTACATAGCAATATAACTGATGAAGTTGAAAGATCTACATCGTCTTCACGTGAAAAAATCTAAACCAGGATGTTATTAGTATTACAGAATTGGTGAATGAAGAAGAAACAGTCCAAACAATTGATCCAAAAAAGAAGAAAAAATAAGAAGTGTGTCTAAAACAAGGGCTTTGTTTAATCTTAAAAAGCAAGCAGAAAAAATGATTAATACATCAAATTCCAAATACACAGCAGCTATTGTTGATGATACAGTAAGGATCCGTGTACCTGATGAAGATCAAGCCAGCAGTGATGGAAAAAATATTTTAGGTGTCGTTGTTGCGGTTAAAGATAAAATCCTTTACAAACTGGGTACCAAACATGGCATATTAAATCTATTATATTCCAGAAACCAATTTACTGTTTGTAAAGAAAACTTTATTTCTGTTGAAGATGTACCGGGTGCAGAAATTTCGCTTAGAGAATGTGCAAGAATGTCATCCATTCCTGATGGCCACAACTATAGTTAATGCTGCTAAAAAATTGGTTGAAAATCTAATAGATGCAAATGCTACCAAAGAAAAAAAAATTATGTAATTTTAAACGTCATGAAAATGTTAACTGCCCAAATAAATAAACTAAAAAGCATTTAATTTTTTATATAATTTATACCAAAAATTGTTAATAATACTTTTCGTTAATATTAGTTTAATCAATATAGTTAATAGTACTTTGATATAATTTACAAAAAATAAATATTTATAAATGAAATAAGTGGAGTTTTTTAAATCAATTTTAAAATTTAAAATACGCACACGCAACTCAGCGTGCCGATTGGCTAGCGTATGTCAGATGATCACTCCTCAACTTATTATTATCACTTTGCCCGACTAGGTGATAGCAGTATTCATAATGACCGGTCAATTTAATAAATTAATCAATATTTATCACACTGCCCGCCCTATTTGGTCATTACTCATAATGCCCGGTCATTATGAATAATGCCCGATTAATCACTTTGTCCATAACATATATATAGATAATAAACATCCCGAAGCCCGACGAACTGATACTATACCAAACGATCGCATAAATTAATCGGGCTATTATTCTGCTAATATTAATAATCACACATTAAGTAATTTGGAATTAGAGATAGATGTGGGCATCATCTCTTATTTAAGTTAATAACTATAATAATTCAATAATTTATTAAATAATTTAGAATAGTCTGGAAAAAAAGGTTGCGGGTTCAAATCCTCTATGAACTAATTCTTTTTTTCCAGACTCTTGTAAATTATTAAATTTTTATAATTATTAATTTAAGATAAAAAATGGATCTCTAATAATAAATTACAAATTACAATATCTAATTATTAATACTTTAGGTTTGAAAAATTTGAATGTGAGTGTTTATAAGTTGTTTCATTCATAGTATTTCTTCATTACATCGGAATTTTTGATTTTACCTATCACATATTCATTGCTTCAATTTTTAAAAATCAAAATATATAAATTTTCAAAATACATTATTTTGTTTGTTATCTTGCAGCAATTAAAAGATATAACATTTACAAAATACATTCAAACGTATCTATCGAATTACTATTAGTAAAATTGCAAAGACACCAGGCTCTCGGAGGGTTTAAGCTGGCATCTTACATGGGATAGAGACCCAGAGTCATATCTGGACTTATCCAAAACTCCTGCAAATTTTTCAAAAAATATCTGTCAAAATATATTAATTTAAATCCTGCTCCACTTAAGGCTAGGTGACCTCATAATGTACTTGCAAAAAAAGGTATTTTAATAATATATGTAATAGAGAATTTGTTTACTAATAAAAATTATTTTAAACAATTGGATTTTTGTTTTAAAAGTATCGTTAATTTATCGCGATAAAAACGACTACAGACCAGTAAATTGCCAGAGTTGACAGTTCTGCTTTTAGTGAATACAGATCCCCTATAAAACGGGTTCATATAATGCAGATTCGTATATAACGGCAAAAAATTGCGATCGTATTCGTATAAACACGCTAAAAAAAACTCGTAAAATACGGTAAAGTGTCATCGCAGACTCGTGTCGATTTAGGATTGGTCGAATCTAGACCAATAGCGGATATTGCACAAACCATTGAGATTAAACGAGCAGCGGATCTACTTAAAACTATTTATTATTTAACAGCCATAAAAATTATATTTATATTAATGATGTCTCCAAAGTTCAACAAATTTTCCGCAGAAAAATAATTTATCAGGAAACACGTGCCCGCCGTTCGATGCGCCACTCCGCGACGAAAACAAGCTTAAGCAATGTCGTCGAACGGTGCACACTCGGTAAGTAATCCTACATTTTTTGTTTATAGCATAGTTTATACGGATTATTCCCAAAAAATTATACGTGTTTTGGAAATGTTGAGTCAAATTAGTCTAGAATTGATTAATTTTATGGAAGAAAACCTTTCAAACAGCCGTAGCCTGTAAACTGCATACGTGCCGGGCTGTGATTGGCTCATGTATTTAAGGACTCGTACAACATCAATTTCATTAAAAAAGAACGGAACGTATCTAACGTGTTATAGGGGGGTCGACTCCTCCCAAGTAGGGAACCGAGCCTGATCGTGGCGGGGGGGCCCGGCAGTGAGAGACGACGGGTAATGGGTCCCGAAAAACTCGTCTTGGTCTCGATCGTTGATGGAGTCTTACGACTCGAGCCGAAGGTTCCAGAGGCGTAATTACTTAATAGGCTTTGGGTCTGTGTACCAAGCCTTTAAAATGCTTGCTGTCCGTTTGCCGCCCTACGGCGGGGGCGACTCCGGCGGGGTTTTACATGTCTCTCTATTTTGGAACCTATCTCCGCCGGTGCGGACGGCCACTAGAGCTGCTTATTGGCATTGTGGCATGCAGACTCACATCATTATAGAAGGGAGATTAACATGATCGAGGCGCGGGGCTGTCCCTAATAGTATCGGCAATAAGAGGGCCAAAATGAGCCCTCAGTAAGTCCGGAAGCTGGGGGATAGTCGCTGTAGCCGTCGCTAATATGGTTCCTAGGGAGGGCTTGTCCTCGGACGAGATATGCAGAGTGTAGTCGATTGAGCTTGTCCAACTGAAGTTGGCAATTGCTAACGAAAGTTGGTAGCTCTGCCGACGGAAGTGTAGGCACCCGCTGGCCTGCGATGTGATGGCACTCGATAGGGGCGCTGCTGAAACATGGTAGGGACTCTTTGCTACGGTGAACAGTCCCGAGTCCCCCTACTCGCGACGGTTAAATCGTCTGCTTGTAGCGAGATGCACATTGTACCCTGGGCTGATGGGTTACGTCCCTGATATTACACATAGGAGCACACAGTGGATGCTGAAACTTTCGGATTCAAATCCCGTGTCGGCACAGAGACTGGGGGCCATGGACTTGACAATCCGCACCCCCTGGAATCTGAGACACACAAAGCGAACTCCCGCACTCACCCTGGTGGCGAGGGATCAGTGTTTTGAACGCAAAGGCGGTCAAATGCAGTCGACACGCCTCCGCCCGTGATAGCGCAGATCACGTAAAGCTCCTTCTGTCCGGTAAACGAAGAATCAGCTTCCCAGGAGGAAGACTTGGGCTTTGCACACCCAAGTGCTGGCCTGGGGGCCGCGACCTGCATGTCGAAGCTAGTGGGGTGAAAAGTCGTACTCCCAAGCCGAAGCCTTGCTGGTGGCCAGGGGGATAGCGCCTCAGTGGCTTGAGGGATTCCGCTAGCTGATGTCTATCCTGACAGACAGTTGGCAGAGCCGCTCCTCGGCATAGGGCCAACTTCCTTATGCTTGGGGGGGGAGCGGTGCTTAGAGGCCTGACGATGCGTTGGATGGCCGTACATGGTCCCGGAGAACTGAAAACGGGAAGAGCGTCTCCTAGTAAGGCTAAGGGGCGGCCCATGCCGAGCAACCAGCCGGGCTGGGGTGACCTTGGGTAGGAGGCCATTTAAATGGGTACATTACATTACATTAAATTGAAAAAGGGGAATCCTCCAGGCAACACTCAGAGGTACAACCTGAAGGTGGTAAAGAACGGAAGGAAGGAAGAGACATGGGAAGAGTAGGGGATGAGCGTGGGGCAGGGTAAAGTTGAGATCTCCAGGCGCCTGCATCGCATTTATTGAAGATAAACAGAATACAAAATGCAATAAACAGAGGAACAAACAATGCAATGGTGAACAGGTATGTACAAAGGAGCTGTGCGACGATGGTTTTATATACAATACAAGTAAACCGACAGATATTGATAACAGAAAATGGGCGTTGGCAGAACAGGAAAATACAGGTAGACGGGAGTACATTGAACAGTGGATTGGTCCGCGGACAATGAGACACAGTGACATAGACACGGGATTGCGGTAGCAAATACTGAGACAACACAAACTGGTACGCGACAAACTGCGAGAGGAAAGGATTTAACTTTTAACCAATCCAATGCAGAAGTAGACAGTTCAAGTGTACAGTGCAGAAGGACGTTGATTAAAAGTCCGAACGTGCAGGATCCTAGCAAAAGTACTTACTGTTGACTGCTGGTTGGGGTGAGAGCTGCTGTCGTCGATAGATAGTTCATAAGCTTGTGGTAAATATCTTTGTGATCAAGGAACGCATTGAGAGGGCAGGGCCAGTTGAAACCAGAGTAGAGAACGCTGCCCATAACAATGTCTCTGTTGTGGTTATAGAATGCACAATCGAAGAGGTAGTGGATGCTGTCTTGAATAGAGGTGCCGTCACAGTTGCAGATGTCCTCATCTTGGATACGGAAGCGTTTTAAATAGGCATTGAAGTTGCCATGACCAGTAATGAGCTGAGTCATGGCAAATGAGGGAGAAAAGTGCTTCCACTGTAAGCGGTTGGCGATGTTGGGAATAAACTTGTGCGTCAATCTACCAGTGTTGCCGTTGTCCCATTGATGTTGCCAATGTTGAAGAGCCAGTTCGTAGTTCCACTGCTTAATCTTGGAGGGTGGAATCTTTTCATAACTGAGAGGTAGAGAAGAGGCAGCAGCGGTTTTGGCAAGGCTGTCAGCGGCCTCATTGCCAGCAACCCCCGAGTGGCCACGAACCCACTTGAAATGCACATTGTGATTGTGGGTGTTCAACGACAGAAGGCTGTGGATGTGAAGGACATTATTCCCCCTATTCCTACTGCTGGTAATGGAGCGGATGGCAGTAATGCTGTCGGAGAAGATGGCAATAGTCATTTTATGAGGGAACCACTCTGTATAGATGTAGTCGATAGCCTTTGTGATAGCGAAAATTTCGGCTTGGGGAACGGAGCAGTGAGGCCCCAGCCTGAAGGCTGACCTGTGAGTTTCACCACTGTGGTGATTGCTGAGAACAAAAGCAGCACCCACATTACCCTTGTTCTTAGACCCGTCCGTGTAGATTGAAATGTCGTATGGCCCTTCATGAAGGGTGATATCGCTGTTCATGGCAGGATAGTCCATGGTCGAATTCAGGTCATTTAAATGGGTAGCTGTCCCAGCAGCGGGCCAAAGCAGTGACGACCCGGCAACAAGAGGGCCAAAACGAGCCCTCAGTAAGACCGAAGTCAGAGCTGGCTCTTAAACGCATACCCCGATTCCCAAACAGATTCAGGGCACCCGTGAAAAGTTGGGAATCACCCCTACACTCCCTTTTTAATTTTCTTTCTATATGGTTACAATGAGTGCAAATAGTGAAAGCGTTAAGAGTGCTCCAGGCGTGTCCGTGAAGCCAGCTGAAACTATATTGTCAACCATCGAGGATGAAGCGGTTGTGACGGGTGCTGACAACACCCAATCGCTGGAGAGGTGGGTTTTGCGGAAACGCAAACCCACCAATGACCGCAATAAGCCTGGAGAGGGCAGGCAGGAAGCCGTAAAGGTTTCCATACCCCTGGAGTCGAGCAGTTCCGATTCGGACTCCGCTCCAGAGGTTTTCAACAGTGTCTCTTCTGGCGGGGACAGCGATTGGAAAGCTGCCCCCGAACGCAGAAGAAAGAAAAGGCGGGAGGTGGCCAAAGCCAAAACGGGCGAGCCGAACGGCGCAAAGTCGAACGGCAAGCCCGCGGGAGCTGCGGCGGCCATGGCTGAGGGGAAACCCCCAACCAAAAACAAGGGTGGGCCGAAACCCAAGTAGAAGGGTAAGAAGAAAGGCCCTACTGCGTCAGCAACCGCGAAAATAAATGCGGAGGCTGCCGAAACGCCGTCGGTAGCCCCCCCTCATCAGCAGGGGGATGGCCTTGAGACGGCTGAGTGCCGTAGATCCGCTATGGACGATATCCAGCAGGAGCTAGCGCTTCTACTGGGCAAGACTGACACCAGGTGCCAGAAGTCCACGTGCGGGATCATCTACGGCCTCTTCAGCAAAATGACAAGTATCCTGAACGCCCAGGAGGTCGAGATAGCCTCCCTCCAGGCAGAACTCAGGACCCTTCAGGAGTTAGGAGGCAATCGACAGCCTTCCAAAGCTCCCATCGAGAAAGGCAAAGCGCCAGGCACGGAACGCGTGACCTATGCGTCCGTAGCAGCTCGACCGGCCTGGCACATCCAAGACGGGACACGAGCGGCCGCTAAGCCGAAGGTAGTACCCACAGAGCACACGCTCTTGGTCTACCCCAAGGATCCAGCTACGAGCAGCGACCGCACGCGGGAGCTGCTCAAATCACATATCAACCCGGTTACGTTGGGGATCGGGATCAAGAATGTGAGGAGGATCCGTAATAACGGCGTCCTGGTAGAGGTTTCGAAGGGCCAGGACGTCGCTAAGCTGTCCAAAGCTGTGTCAGAAGGCCCATCGGCACTGCGCGAGGCGATCACCTGCCGACTGCCGCGTAAGCGCCGACCGCGGGTCATTGTGTTCGATGTCAGCAACGACATCAAAGGCGAACATCTCGCGGAGACCATTCTCTTGCAAAATAGCATCGAGGCACAGCCTGGGGAACTGTTGCCTCGTTTCCCTTTAAAGGGAAAGGAGGGCCTTGTGAACTGGGTGATCGAGGTCTCTCCCATGGTCTTCCGCGCTCTCCTGCAGAAGGGGAGAATCCATGTGGGTTGGACGCGCAACCGGGTGAGGGAACATTTGGCTTGCACCCGGTGCTACAAATGCTACGGTTTGGGGCACGTAGCAAATGGTTGTACGGCAGACAACCAAAAATGTATCAAGTGTTGTAACTGTACATACGTTTATTTCAATATATATA